ATGAGGCCCTCCAAGATACCCACAGCCACCTGTTATTTGGACCCGTGTTCCGTGTTTACGACACTTAATTGTTACCACTGGTGATAGCCATCTGACACGCACCTACACAAAACAAACAACTCCTCACATACCCAGACGAACAAACAAACAGACACACATCCCAACTAAGTAACTTATATTAAGAGTTATATCGCCCTATTTATCCGTTACCCCCACAGCCACCTGCTCTTTGGACCCGTGTTACGCCACTTGTTACTTGTGATAGCCATCTTACACACACTAACAAAAACAAACAAAACAAACAAACAAACAAACATGTCCCAATGAAAATACAAAAAAACAGACTTTATATCGCCCTATTTTGTCAGTTGATTCTACATCCCACTCGAGGGCAGGGTCCAGAATATTTTGGGATTCCCAGTGTGTGGCGATTTCTTTATAGTTATGATAGCTTGGTAATCCCCGATTCAGTCATTAACAAACATAATTATTGGTAGAGTTTATGGGTCTCTCGTCTTATCTCTATAAGTGATGGAAAAACAACACTAAACACTAACAGATACACTTGCCATACAGGGTGTACCAAAAAGTGCCTTTTCACAACATTTAAAAAAAACATATAAAAAAAATTACCGATTGGAAAGATTTTTTTATTGAAAAACAAATGAACTATAATCTCCACCACGTATCGATATTTGTGGGTTAAAAAAAAAAAAAGCTGTGAAAAAGAGGACACCCTGTGGTTTTTATATTTGCAAATGAGTTTGAAAAAAAAATTAATGTGCACTGAAAATAACAACTGGAATCATTCTCTGTCTAATTTGACAATACATATAACACTAATTTACTCACAAAAAATTCAGTCAATTTAAAAAAAAAAAATGTCATTGAGCGACCAGATGCAATGAACATAAAATCTCTCCCATTATGATAAGCTCTCCCGCTTTAAAGGACAATGTCTCCACCACGCGCTGCGGCTGTCTCCATCGCTGCAAAATTGGGGAGGGGGGGGGGGGTTGGACAACAGAAATATAATATATGGATGAAACCATATTGTTTCAACTTATCAATAAGCCAACTCACTTTTAAAAAAATTCAAATAAAAAGTATGAAACAAATTTTGATGATTTTGATGTGTAACGAAAAACAAAACTGGGGAATCAGATGGGAAACATTGTTTTTCAATGACTCACCATGGGGTTTAGATTGACAGTTGGCTTTCGGAATGCTTACACCAACATCTGAACTATCCTCGGATTCTTTGCGTTTCTCTGGACCCACTCTGTCAGCATGTTTTTAGATTTGCGCCTCCTGATCTCGCTGTTTATTCGCTCTAAATGTCTGGATTTCGGCGGGAAGGAAGTCTTTGTACTATCGCCAAGGCCTCCCATTAGTCGCCGATTTGCCGCGAGAGAGTCAAGAGGTTTCTCGAGTTGAGAACATGCGGAACGCCACATTCTCAGTTAAGATTAAATAAAGCCCGTACATGTCTGTTTTTAGAATGTTCACTGGATCCAAATATGCTGGGGTAGGGTGGGGACAAAATTACCTGACCAACTGGGTTGTACATATTATTTGACGCCTGGGGCGTTCTTTTTTTCTTTCACTCTAGCTTTCTATAGGCCTTAGACCTAATGACGTCACGTCCTATGTGGTAGACGGTCCCTACTTCGTCTGGCGTCCCGACTTCGCTCCCATAGGAAAGCGCATATGTAAACAAAGCCATTACGTCATTAGGTCTCATGTCTATTAGTTTCAAAAATCCGTCAAAGGAAAGGACAGAAAGGTAATGGATGCAACTACAGTATCGTTGTAAAAAAACGCTTGGCGTCGGTCGTTCTAAGTTGTTTCCATCTTGTAAAAAATATTTTAAAAATCCGCATCTTAATTACGCCTCCCTCTCCTCCAGTTCTGCACGTGCATGTGAATGTTCGATTTGAATGTCCTCTTGAACATACTTTAAAAAGGAAGCGACAACATTTGGGCAGAATGTGCGCCTACCGTACCTCGACCACGCACTGGCGCAGGCAAAAATGCACTTCATTTTACTGGGGCAAAATTATGGAATGGAATAAAAAAAGAAATAAAAATGTCCAGAGATCTGTCCACTTTTAAAGTCTGTACTGGAGGTCTCTAATTAAATATGATTTGTTTACGTTATGTGGTCGGTTTGTTGTACTTGATCTTTCCGTTTTTCTATGCATGAAGTTCTTGTTTTTAACTACGTGTCTCTATTTTTTATTATATTATGGGGTTTTATGTCAATTAATACCATGTTTATCTCTGGTGTTGGCCATGTTATTTTGCCCGTGCACCTTCAACAGTTATTAATGTCACCCATTTGGCACCTTTTATAATCAAGAGATATACACATCGCTGCGCGCGCAGTACAGAATCGTTTGCTGACAGTTTGCTATGTCACGGGACAACATCCAATTTGCTAAAAAAAATCATCATATAACATAGTAAACACTGAAACTGATAGCCTTCTGACACGCACAACAAAACAAACATTACGAAAATATTCATCCGCTGAGAAAAACGGCGAGTAAATATTGATATTGAACTGAACTGACGAAGGGCAGGGTCCAGACTATATATGATAATAGCTTGAAATTCCCGAATTCATTAATTATTAGCTGCATGCAGAGTTTATCAATCCCCTCCCGGATCCGCGCGTTCTGGTTATTCTAGGTGATGTCTGGATTTGGCGGGAGGGCCGAACAGTGGAAGGGGAAGTTTTGTTTTTCTTTCTATATCTTTCGATCAGTTTCAAGAACACATCCGCAAAGGAAAGGAGGGAAACTGGATGAGCCAAAAACAACATCCTTCTAAAAACAATATTCCTTTTAAAAACAATATTTTCCTCAATCGTTCCATGCTAAACCGATGTAAAAATTTCCATCTTTTCCCCCCTCCAAACATCGGATCTGCTGGTGTGAATTTTCGATTCAAAAGACCTCTTCTTGTGTATGGTAAATAAGGTAAAATGTCAATTTATTGGTTTTCCCCCTGGATTTCACAGTACCCGGAACCCCTATAAAAAGAACTCCTGTAAATATTTACTCCGTTCCGTACGCATGCACCCAAAGTTGGTCTACATAAATTATGACAAGATTAGACTCCATTGATTACAAAAAAAAAATTATAAGCAGGATAAAAAATAAAACATTTCAATAACATTTGTTCCCCGAGGACCATTTCACTAAAAGACCCCTCCTCTCCTCTGTTCGTGGTGAACAATTTCGTCTGTATATTGGTCCATTCACTACCTGGGGTCCAATAATTTGGGGAGGGGTCATTCTAGTGATGCATGGGGATATTCAGTGGTTTTGAAACAATAAACATCTCATTCGTGTCAATTCTGAGAGGGGCCACAAGGGGGAGGGGATCTGGAGAGGCTTGGCATCCCCCCAGTTAAGCCATCACTGGGACAGTCAGTGGGCAAGGGCGGATCCTGGGGGGGGGGGGGGAATGAGTACACCACCATCTTTTCCTCCAAAAACAATGACTAAAGTGGTCAGAAATTGCCTCAGATCGCACCACACAGCATCTAGAATTCAAAAATAAATTTCGGGGGCCTTAAGTGGGTTCCGAACCCCACGCCGTAATTTTTCTGACCCACTATTTGGGGGACCACAATTTTTTTGCCCCCCCAACAAAAAATGTGTTCTGGATCCGCCCTTGTCAGTGTGTCTGTGTACAGAAAGAGTTCAGCTTCGGCAAATTCCATGGAGTTTGTATGAATACATATTACCCCATTTTAAGTCTCCCTCCAAACCCTCTTGGGATCGATCAATGAGGAGACATTTTCACACGATGAGGGTAAAGTTAAAATGCCGAAGAAATATAAACCAATATTTAATATGTAAACGTGTTTATTATTCAAATGCAGCTTACAATGAATGCCATTATAAATTTGAAAAAAGAACGACTTTTCTAATTAATTCATAGGGTTGTCAACGTGAGCATAATAGGCCATATACACGGATGTAAGTATAACAAAAATTAACGAAGTGTATCTTGCAATCCAGTAAAAATAAAAATGATAATCATTCCAACTTTTCAACCCATGCAACACTTTGACTAGCGTAAGTATTTTCGTTCAATTTGAGCAGTATTTCGTTAGTATCATTAACAAAGCACTAGAACCTTAAATTAAAGAATATATAAGAATGGATGGAAGTTTCCTTTACACTATAGAATATTTGCTGTCCTCTAATCAACTGATTAAATCAAGTAAAGTACTGATATTTCAGAATTTACAGTTAAAAATTCACTGAATGCCCTCTGTATAGCAAATGAGTCCGCCCAACGTACCCGCACAGCCACTTGCTCTTTGGACCCGTGTTTACGACACTTATTAATGTACTTGTAATAGCTATCAGGCACACACTTACACGAAACAAACAACCCCACACAAAACCCAGACAAACAAACAAATACATCCCAACGAACGTACAGAGTTGTATCGCGCTATTTATCTGTTGATTCTGCATCCCATGATTTTGAATCGATAATCGAGGAGGGCAGGGTCCAGAATATTTTGGAATTTCCCATTACGTGGCGATTTCTTTATATCTTTGATATCTTGGCAATTACCCAATTCAGACATGAACTTTTGAGCGTTGGTGGCAGCAAACACACCAGTCCTTTTCAATTGTTTACGTCATGTTTGAGCTAAAGCGCGCATGCTCAATATGACGCAAACAATGGAAAAAGGACCTCAAAAGTCTCCCACAATTAGCAGATTATATCAAAAAGATACATTACGGGGAAGTTATTATTGGATTGATCCCTATACCACACAAAATACACGGCCTCTTAAACGAAAAGATAACAAAATAATTATCATACAGTCTATAATCTGAAACAAATAAATAAACCATAAAGGAAGGCAAATTATAGACCTACTTATACGAAAATTGAAAAATAGACATGCATAGTTTGCTTTTGAGAAAGCACTGATCAGAAATTTACAACTTGAAAAAATATAACCTTTAATTCAGCAAGAATTCAGCCACTAAAACCTGTACAAATATGGAATGAATAAAACTATAATTATACATTAGAACACACGATAAATCGCTTTGTATCTTATCACAGCCTTCCCTTAACTCTTACACTTATTTAAATGTAAACATCTTTCCAGACATTTCTTCACTTTCATCCATGGGCGTCGTGAGGGGCGGCAAGGGGGGGGGGCGCTTGCCCCCCCCCCCCCAGCAAAGCAAGAAAGGAAAAAAAAAAAAAAAAAAGAGAAAAAAAAAAAGAGGCGCGAAGTCATAGTGGTGTAAATTTAATGAGTTCGGGGGGGGGGCAAAATGTCCCTGCCCCCCTCTAAAACTGAAAAATCGAGAATTTGTTGAGAAATACAAGAATTTTTTAGGAAAAATATGTTTTGCCCCCCTCTAGAAAAAATTCTGGCGACGCCCATGCTTTCATCCCTGTATATACTCTTCTTGCAAGTTCCTAGCTTCCCGTGGTGAATATTCACCGATTGACTCGTACGTCAGAAGCATTGGACTTAATTGACAAAATATTTACAAACGATACTTCAAAAAAAGATTACGTCTCTTGTTCTTATCACAAAAAAAGACTTGTGTTGTCATCCATACTTTGTGTTAATTCACCAGGAAGAGATTGGTACTAAACATTTCCTTTAACATTGACGCATTTCTTCCGTCTTCGGTATACCTGCAGAAAACAAGTAGAAAATACAAAATGTACATCATATTCCAAAACTTGCAATAATAGCACTACAAAATTCCTCATAGACAGACGCTTATAACCCTTTGAATGACTCAGAAACCAATTTCGTGCTTCATTTTGCATGCATTAGCTTCTCATGAAACTCCTTTTCATTATTTTACATGTACTGTCCTTTTTTGGTTCAGTTTTGATGATTTTTGCCAAACTCATTCAAAAGGGCAGGGAACAGTTTGTAAGAAAAGTAGCTTCTACACTGAATACTTACAATGTGAAGGTATAACATGATGCCAATACTACACAGGAGTGAGATTGAAGACATAACCACTGGCACAATCATGTAGACAATTGTCTGGGTTTCAATGGAGTAGTCTGTTCTCACTACTTCGTCATTCAAAGCCCCCGTTGTGCCTTTAAAGAGAAATAAAAGAATCACGATTCGACTGTTGCAAACATGTGTTTCAACTATTATTTCGCATTTCACTCGCGAACGCCGTACCTATTTCACTTCTTCCATCTAACTCCTATTCCCTCTTTTCAAATAGACAGGATTCCAGCCGCCTGAAACCAGTAACAAGACAATTTTGAGTGACATTCACTCGAACGGACGAATAGAGTTTTCACTCTAGTTTCCACCGGATTTCCCCCACGTTTTCTTCAACCTGAAGTTTGAGTGATTTCCACCCTAAATTGTCTGGTCCCCAGAGAGGATACAGAACTTACCAGCATTTTCCTGAGTTGCCGTTCTGTCATACGTTGCCGTTGTGTTATGAGTTCTGGTAAGGCGCACCCTCGTGCGAGTATTGCCTCCTACAGCAACACCCATAGCCTCACACACGTATTCTGCATCATCGTCTACCGAAGAAACTTGAATTGACGCTGAAGTTGAAAAGGTGTTGTTCCTCAACGTTAAGCCTGAGTGAGTATGGTAAAAAAAAAAGTACAGGCAGATCTAGGATAAAACGAGACAATGCAAGTCTAGTAAAGCTGGTACCAGAGCGCACAAAGTCATATTTAATTGATTCAGAATAACTCATTCACTCTTATTTACACGAAGTCTTTTCATGCATCTTCTGGAACCAGCACAATTACTATATGTTTCTTCCGATATTAATTTGACAACAGTTAATGACTCTCTTTTACAATAGGACCAAGTTAAGTTACAGTGCACTAATATGGACAATATCATTTAAAAAAGTTAACGATGAGTTTTCAAGGGTTTTCTTTGACAAGGGACGGTAAGCTTCTTTCAAAGTACATTTCGTACCCGTGTGAGCCGGTACAATAACAGGCCTGACCGTCTTGAAAGCATCTAGCACTGTGTGTCCGTGTGGACGCGCACGAAGCCACCTCAATTCCACGGCAGGTTTGACCCAACCTCGTCCCCAGGGTGTCGAGCAGTACACGCCCACCACGACCTGCTCTCTCACCCTGGTATTGGATCATTTGCATGTGCAAGATTTTTGCACACGTATGCAAATGAGGAACAGTCTGGTGCCTGGATATGCGTTACACATTAGCGTTTGTTTTTGTATGCGGTGTCTGGGGTAAAAACAGAGTCGATTCGTAGCAGCCGATGACGGTAGGATATGGACGATTTGGGTACACTGTTGGTTGAACAGTAATAGTTGCAGCAAAACAGAGAGTTAAAGACTGGTGGTATTCCATAAGGGGAACGTGTCCGAGACTATAATAGACGGAACAAAATTCGGAAACCCAATATCATTAATAATATCGATTTCTGGTCAGTTAATGTCATAGAGCTAGAGATGCTAGGCACAGAAATTTCCAAAACACAGGAAAGATATTCTTAGCAAAAAAGGTTATTAGCCAAATATGCCATTTGAGTGTACTGCATTGCGACTGGTTCCCAGATGGTTGGTGCTAAGCATATAATGGTAAGCAATATTTCCCATTGTACACATTTTTCAACCATTTTTAAGCGTGGTTTGACCTGAAAGTAGTAGGTTCCGTCATTGGAGTTGATGACGTTCTCAATGATGAGATTGAACTCATCGTCGATATCATAGACGCCCTCTGGGATCCCGTTTTGGGGAGCCACTCTTCCCAAGAAGTACGAGATGAGCAGGGATGTGCCGCTCGTTGAGCCATAGTGCCAGTACGTCGCTAAGATGTCTCCAAGAATTTGGCAGGATTCAACGAGAGGACAGGAAACGATCCCACGTTGGCCTCGTTCCAAGAACACGGTTCCATCAGTGCTTGCTAGGACTAATCCACCTGCACCAAATCAATGATACAATAGTTCTGATTCTGTTACATCTTATAATAAATTTATTCAGAGACATATTGCTGCAGCAAAACGATTCCTGTACAGTTTTACATTTTTGTTGAAATCACATTCTTTCCGACAGCACTGTATTGCTCTTAAATAATTAAGGTAAATTAAAGTACGCCTACACAAAAGTCGAATCACACTACGTTTCTCAATTTAGGCCAAAATACCTTGAGAATGCCCGCATGACTGTATGTGAATGCATTTACATAATTTATTAAATGTTATTATAAGGAGAAAACCATTGCACCAGTTCACGTAGCGTGGTTCAATGATTCCTCCCCAAGATATAGTTAGGATTTCCCTAACGATGACGCCGCACATGTTTGATGAAATTGAAGGCAGACGTTGTCCCTGCCTTTCGCTGATGCTGGTTCTTTTCGGGCAAAAAACACAAACTGCAACATGTTTTTTGTCTCCAGTTTTGGCATCAATGTACTTTGCTTTCCTTGCACGCATACAGTATGATTGCCGAATTGGCAAACGTGACTCAAATTAACTCCAACTGTGCGTATAAAAAGAGTTTTCTTGCAACCGAGTCAGGCACGCATGCTTTTCACATAGCGTACACTATCCTAGAATGGTGCATTGCCAGTCAAGTTCCTGATAGATCAACAGTGCATACTGCACGTGTCTAGTTACCGGACCACGCAATATGTGACTACAGAGTACGGTTACAGGTTACCCTGCAAACCATGCATTCAATACACGTCTTTTTACTGACGGTAACCAGTGGCAATAATAATTATGTGGCTACGGCTAGTCACCATTATGCGTACTCATGCACAAACGTACTAGGTAAAGCCCCTGTCACACTTTTGCATATCCCAATTCCTTATGAGTTCCTTAGGCCAAAAAAAAAGTCTCAGGTTTCTGGTATGGAGCTTGCCCAAAAAGTGGTGCGGCGACGCGGCTTTTTTTTTTTACCCGACTTTTTTGCTTCAAATGTCGGCTGATGACTGCAAATGGTGCCCGACTAAACTTAATACAAATAGGCCTATATGGGATTGGGAGTCAAAATTGTGCAGCAGCAGGATTCCAGTCAAACAAGTGAGTTTGGCGGTTTTGAGACATCATCTTTAATTGAGAAAAAAACTTTTTCATTTTGCCGACGCGCATGGCTACAGCGACGCGCGCGCATACCAGAAACCGGAGACTTTTTTTTTTGGCCTTATCAACAATTTTCAATACGCAGCCGTACGATCAAAAACGTCGAAATTTTTTACTTTGACATTATGTGCGACGCACATCTAGCGAACAAGTAACGAATTCAGCGCATCCACTGCGTATGAGTTGCGTATGTAGTGCGCAAGTTCGCCATCTGTGCGTTTCTCATAGGTTACGAATAAGTACAATGCGCTGCCCGCTCGCAGGACGAGCGGTACTAATTCGTGCAATACGTCGCTATGTATACGTCCAATATAGACCGCTTGCAGACGCGTTCGATAATTGACGCGCGAAGGTGCGCAACGCCATGTTGTGGGACAAAATGTGCATGGATAGATATACGCTTTTCCCACAACATGGCGTCGCGCGCCTTCGCGTGTCGATTATCGAACGCGTCTGCAAGCGGTCTATAGGAGGTCAGCGTATTGCCGCGTATGAACGGCTTATCCCTCACGAACACATAGCGTACTCGTACCGCGCTCGACCGATGCGGGACCGATGCGCTGCGTATTTATAACTTATGACCTGCGTAACAGCGTACGCACTACGCAGCGTAGTTTTGTGCATGCCCAAAACTATCCAGCGTAGTGGCCGTACCATGCGTATGCCTGCGTACATAAAACTTACATAAAACGATAGAGATGCATATGAGGTGCGTATTGTGCGTACGACTGCGTATGAAAAAAAGTCAATGCGCAACTCATAAGGAATTAGGATACGCAGAAGTGTGACAGGGCCCTATCCGCCAAAGCTTGCCGTAGCCAAGTCAAACATAGTAGTCAGATTATGTACGTCTAGTACAACCGGTACAACGGTCGCGAGAACAATGGAACCTTAACGGCAGTTTTATTCTGGCTGGATTTAGATTTAGGCTACAACTGCAAGTGCATTTTTATATTGGTCTCGTGCTGGTCTCGGCCCAAAATTTCGAGAACAGTAGGTGCGAGACCAAGACCAAGATCAAGACCAGCGGTTTTTTCCCGAGACCATTGGTGGTCGAGACCGAGAACACGTTCAAACTGGTCTCGAGACCAAGACCAGTCTCGACGACTACAACACTGGTAGTTAAGATTTCCCGAAAAGTATTTACCCGTTATTAACAGTCGGCCCACATCGGCTATTCCCGTCTAACCCGCAAATAGTGTAGGACTTTACCGATCAAGTTACCTGTAATTTGGTAAAACGATTGAAATTACAGAGTTTACATTTACAATCCATCCCGATCACATCATAAGTCCGCAAATATCCGTGTGAATGCTTACAGCATCAGCAATGGTATTGATATCCACTGCATCATTCGTCCGACTATAGCCTCATCAGTTTCGCCTTCTCTATAATGCAAGAACAAATATAAATATCATCATCAAGTTCGATGTTGAAATATATGATCCGAAGTGCGCTGTTTTTTTTTAAATGCAAATTCTCTTTATATAGCACACATTCAGTGTCCAAAGGTCGTTACTCGCTGATAACTTTTGAGGGGGAACCAAGTTCTATTAATGGGTTAAAGGTTCAGAGGTGCATTAATTGAACCCCTTGCATGCCCATGGATTGGCCAATTTGAATGATCCTAGGGATTGCTCTTGGCTTCATGCTATGAAGCTTTAACACATTAGACACTATTGTGCCTTGCTATAAGCCCTGAAAACTGTTTGCTGGTCACTCGGCTGCCTCGGCAACTGCAGGGCTGCGAATAAATGAGTCTTAATTGGGATTTTTCAGCTTTGAATATCTCTGATTTGTCCTGATAAACTTTACAAAATTTTACAAATAAACTTCCAAAATTGGTAAACAAAAACGTATTAATCAAAAGAAATAAACTTGGCCTCGTATTACAAGATTTGATGTTCCATGAAACACAACATGGACCTATATTGAGGATTTCTCATTACAATGTAACGATAATTTGTCCTGGAAAAGCTGAAAGCTGAGGGGAGAGACAAAGCCCATGTTTCAACTCCCCCCCCCCTTTTTCAGGGGCCGATTGTAGGAGAAGTGACGAAAAAAAAATCTGGCTAAATGTTGTCATTGGAACATTCACATGCACGAGCAGAATGATCTGGAGGAGTGGGGTATCAAAATGAAGAAATTGATACCTTTTTAATAAAATGAAACGACGTAGAATTACCTTTCCATTTTCATCGAAGGGACTTTGAAACTATATATGAAGACTAGAACCACAACCGCCCTATAGAGCAACATACGGTCCATCCCCCCATCCCACCCCTTCAGTGTGCATCCCGGTCAGTCCGGGCCGCGCCTACACCCCTGGGTGTGTCTTTTAAAACAGTTTTTCCTGACTGACTATCCAGGTTTTTTTCTCCACACACATCTTCAGACAGCAAAATTATGCTTTTCATACTTTTGGGGATTTTAAGATTTGAAACTCTGCATATTTGTTCAATAACATTATCAGACTTTTCCTTTCGTCACTTCAAATGAGAAAAGTTCACAGAGAAAGACTTATTGCGTACTGCTTTCTTTCCAGTAAGCGTTCTTTTTGATTGGTAGTGTCAAGAGTTTACTAGATTTAAGCATGGGTTATTGGCCTATAATTCTTTTATTTTAAGGAGAATTAAATGCTTATAAATTCTGTTATTTATGACTCTCATTACGATACCAACAATAATAACAATTCTGGGGGGGGGGGGGGGAGATTGTTTACCTTATGCAGTTGTTTTGTTGTATTTAGTCTTCCTGTTTTTCTATGGATTAAGAGTCATTTCGTGTAAATACTTCATATAAGTGTCCACACTCAATTTTTTTTTTTTCTATAATATTTTGTGGAATGAAAGGACTTGGGGAGCAAGTAACCAAAATAGACTTTTTAAACCGATTTTTTGCCCGTTGCCATGGTAACCGTCCATTGTGTTTTTTGGATTGTTTACTTTTCCCTTTTGAAACATCTGGTTAAAAGGAAACCAACCTAATGTCTTACCGTTCCTGAGAAAAGACGAAAAAAAAACCAAGTTGTTTACATTGGACACGACGGAGCACGAATACGTTTTTCCTGTCGTTCCCTGTTTGTACGATATACACGTTGTGTGTCTCGGGAACAGCGGTGACCAATCACCAATGCACAAAAGAAATTTTCTTCGACGTCCGCAATATCAATTTTTTTAATATTTGGCATCTAAATCTGAATCATTGCAACCTCTTCAAAAACCCGGAGAATATTCAGCACCAAAAACCATACTGTTAGGGGCCGCGCGACGTTAGGGTACATCAACAATACATGTTATTGTGACAGTGACGAACCACTGTCCCTATTATTATACTAGCACTACAAATTCACCGAAAGTGGGCAGTAGAAAAATGTTAAATGCTCTTTAAAACAAAATCTGAAATAAACCTAGAACATTTAAACTTAATTAGAAAAAGGTTTGTACTCCTAACCAAATACTTCCAGAAGTAAGGGTTAAATAGCAAGAAGTGTTGCCAACTTTGACGGAAAGCACTTTGACAATGAGCTTACCTGCCTGTACTGATTATGATGGCAGGCAATCAGGGCACACCGCCAGCTAGGTCCACACTCTCCTGAACTTCTCGATCTATTTCAACAAATTCACCTCCTCACCTTGTACCCATCTTTCCAAACAGCTAGCAGCTGAATTTAACGTGAATTTTACTCACCAAAACTTCGTTGTTTTTCCTCGTGGACGTCTTCCAACGTCGCCAATTAAGATTTTGTTTATTGGGACGTGATTCCAAAACCCGCGCGACATTTTTACATTAGTTGCCCGGACGGGGACCAGACCAACTGTTCCTAGCCATGATC